AATGCTTTCGCTGGCATGTGTTGCAATTTCTCGTCCAAGTAAATACAGCCGTTCGGAAAAATTCGCATGTGACTTATCTTTGTCATGGCATTGTCGTTGTACGGCAGGAAAACAGTTGTTTTAAAAAGCGATGAAACGCAAAAGCTGGATATTGATGGTCAAATGACCGAACTACCCAAGGAATGACTTTATTCATCCCTGAGAACAGGTGTATTCAACTCTTGAAAAGTTACAGAAAATGACACTGACCATGAACCCCTTCTTCCGATAGGCGAGCTTCTCAGACGGGAATCTCTGACCTTCGAAATACGGCACATATCATGTCCACCAGGAAGCCGTCATGAAAGATGGATGGGCACCGTGCAAGCAGATCTGCTTTCGGAGAGAAACTGTTCGTCCTGATGATGCAGCAACACCGTGTCTAAATTTTGGACAGCTCAAATTGCGTGGAAAATCTCAAACAGCGACGCAGTAATGGTGCAAGTGCTGAAAACGATGGTCACAAAAAATGACTACTTCGGAGTTTACGATATTCTTCAATATTCTTTAAGAGCAGCGATCGATAAACGAACGTCCCTCCATCTCAGATTTCTTTGTTTCCTTGTTATACCTTAAATTTTGAGGACTCCCTCTGTGAATAAACGGATTTAGTCAGTCTGCTTCACAAATCATCTCTGGCTAACCAATTTCATCCCTTATGCTCTGGTGAAATCTTTCCCATTTTTCATGATGAATTGATTCCACTTGGCGCAGTGTCATTTTCACTGTCTAAAACACGTCATTGTAAAAGGCCGTTGCATCCCCTACGCCTCTTCGAATGTCAGACAATTCTCTATGTGACTAACTGCCATAAATTTGTTCACCGCTTCTGCGTCATCTGACGGTAAAATAGATCGCCTCGATCCATCTTACTATAAGGCACTTTGACTGACTGCCGCAATTGAATGGTTTATGACCACTCTTAACAGGAAGCATATTTTTACTTCCATCGTACTGTCTATTCACTGCAGTTCAAACAATGCGTTTCTGAGACATATATGATTTAGCCAATATAAACAGACGACAACTGTACTATTGCATACCCCAGTGTCGAGCAAGGGACGAGGATGATGATGGCAATTAGATTATGTGCACACCTGTCGAACCCATCGCATTGGAGACGATGTTCGCAATCTTCGTCAACAAGTGGTCATATGATCTGCTGGAAAGGCGAGTGACGAAATGTTTCCTTTAGGGAACGGAGCTGAGAGTAATCACTTCTCTTCGACTTGATTTTGGGTCAGTACTGACAAAGCTAATTTTGTAGAGGACGTATGTGGCTGTCCCTCGCTTGATTGTTTCTTTGACGACTTTCACTCCATTCATACATAGAGTGATCTTTTACTGTTTTTGCCAAGGTACTGAATTGCAAAGGTACCATTGTGGCGACTCAGCATATAGGCACCATTCGTTGTGCAACAAAGTAACGTACTTCAGTCAGTCAGTCTCGATGATCCATTACTCTTTCGGGTCACCAACGCGGACGCATCAGACAGTGTCTCCAACGTTCTCGATCCTGTACCAGCGTTTGGGCTTCGGCAGAATATGACCGAAATGTTGAACGGAGTTCTCCGGTACACTTGCCACAGATTATTCTTAGCTCTCCCAGGGGTCTTTACCTGATCGGTTGAATGGGCAATAGCTGTTTCGCCTTCCTTTCTTGAAGAAGTCACCAGACGTGTCCAAACCATTGCAGTCGTGACTTGTTAATCTGAGGAAGTTGCCACCGTGTTCTAAGGCTATCTCGGATATCTGTACTTTCGATAATGTCTAGACGCGTAAGGCCAGCGACTCGTTCCAGAATGCACATATCAACCGGCATAATAACGACAATATCATGGAGGACATGTGGACGGGAGACCTCGTCACTCTTCCCAAATTTCTTCCTTTCTCATCCACGCTTGTATGCTATAACAACGGAGTTCGACGATTAAATATGAGCTATGACGTTTCGGGTGCGGAGGCGCAATGGCTGGGTCGGCTTCGAACTCCGACGATGTCGGATTCTAACTCTGAGGGAGACAGTCTTTGCCTTAACTGCAAATTCCTTGAGCAAAGAGTTTGCACCAGGTT